AAGTAGCAATAAGTGGCTGGAAAAGGAAAATGTGCATATAACTAACAGCTGGAAGACCAATTAACACTAATTAGGTCAATTGACAACATGATTGGGTATAAAAAGAGCTTCTCAGAGTGTCAGTGTCTCTCAGAAGCTAAGATGGTAAGAGGATCACCAATTCCACCACTGTTGCGCAGAAAGATAGTGCAGCAATACCAGAATGGTGTTACCCAGCGTAAAATAGCAAAGACTTTGAAGTTATCATCATCAACCGTGCATAACATCATCAAAAGATTCAGAGAATCTGGAACAATCGCTGTGCGTAAGGGTCAAGGCCGTAAAACTCTACTGGATGCTCATGATCTCGGGGCCCTTAAACGTCACTGCACCTCAAACAGGAATGCCACTGTCAAGGAAATAACAGAATGGGCTCAGGAATACTTCCAGAAAGCATTGTCAGTGAACACAATCCACCGTGCCATCCGCCGTTGCCAGCTGAAACTCTACAGTGCAAAGAGGAAGCCATTTCTAAGCAAGCTCCACAAGCTCAGACGTTTGCACTGGGCCAGGGGTCATTTAAAATGGAGTGTGGCAAAATGGAAGACTGTTCTGTGGTCAGATGAGTCACGATTTGAAGTTCTTTATGGAACACTGGGACGCCATGTCATCCGGACCAGAGAGGACAAGGATAGCCCAAGTTGTTATCAACGCTCCATTCAGAAGCCTGCATCACTGATGGTATGGGGTTGCATGAGCGCTTGTGGCATGGGCAGCTTGCATGTCTGGAAAGGCACCATTAATGCAGAGAACTATGTTCAGGTTCTAGAACAACATATGCTCCCATCTAGACGTCATCTCTTTCAGGAAAGACCCTGCATTTTTCAACACGATAATGCCAGACCACATTCTGCAGCAATCACAACATTATGGCTACGTAGAAGGATCCAGATACTGAAATGTCCAGCCTGCAGTCCAGATCTTTCATCTATAGAGAACATTTGGCGCATCATAAAGAGGAAGGTGCGACAAAGAAGGCCCAAGACGATTGAACAGTTAGAGGCCTGTATTAGACATGAATGGGAGAGCATTCCTATTTCTAAACTTGAGAAACTGGTCTCCTGTGTCCCAAGACGTCTGTTGAGTGTTGTAAGAAGAAGGGGGGATGCCACATTGTGTTAAAAATGGACTTGTCCCAACTTTTTTGGGATTTGTTGACGCCATGATATTTGGAAACAACAGATTTTTCCCTTAAAATGATACATTCTCTCAGTTTAAACTTTTGATCTGTGATTTGTGTTCTATTCTGAATAAAATATTAGATGTTGGCACCTCCACATCATTGCATTCAGTTTTTATTCACAATTTGTTTAGTGTCCCAACTGTTTTGGAATCCGGTTTGTAGATGTTCACGCAACTGACCTGCAACTATTTTCTCTAGAATTTTTGAGATGAAAGTTAGATTAGATATAGGTCTGTAATTGGCCAGAATTTCTGAATCAAGATCAGACTTCTTAAGTAAAGGTTTAACTACAGCAACCTTAAAGCTCTTTGGTAAATAACCATCCATTAAAGACAAATTAAGTAGATCCAAAATGTGGACATTAATTAGGGGAAATACCTCTTTAAACAGTCTGGTTGGTATCTAGCAGACATGTTGATGGTTTGGATGAGGTTATTATTTTTGACAATTCAGAGAGCTCAACAGGACAAAAACTGTCCAAACATAAATCAGGCTGTAGTGAAATTTTTAAAGTTGCCTCATTTGACAACATAAACACCATGTTCAAGCATAAAGGTGTCCATATGTGCTCTTGGCACCAGGACACCCTAGGCCGCAGTTCGATGATCGACTTCGTTGTCATCTCATCTGATCTGCAGCCACATGTCTTGGACACTCGGGTGAAGAGAGGGGCGGAGCTGTCCACTGATCACTACCTGGTGGTGAGTTGGCTCCGATGGTGGGGGAGGATGCCGGTCAGACCTGGCAGGCCCAAATATATTGTGAGGGTTTGCTGGGAATGTCTGTCAGAGTCTACTGTGAGACAGAGCTTTAACTCCCACCTCCAGGAGAACTTCGAACATGTTCCCGGGGAAGTGGGGACATTGAGTCCGAGTGGGCCCGAGGAGGGTCCGTCGGATAGTCGAACCTCAGATTCAGGAGGAGCAGTGCGGTTTTCGTCCTTGTCGTGGAACACTGGACCAGCTCTACACTCTCAGCAGGGTCCTGGAGAGTGCATGGGAGTTTGCTCAACCGGTCTACATGTGCTTTGTGGACTTGGAGAAGGCGTTCATCCCCGTCTCTCGGGGAACCCTGTGGGGGGTACTCTGGGAGTACGGGGTACCAGGCACTGTGATACAGGCTGTTAGGTCCCTGTATGACCGGTGTCAGAGCCTGGTCCGCATTGCCGTCAGTAAGTCGGCCTCATTCGCGGTGAGAGTTGGACTCCGCCAAGGTTGCCCTTTGTCACCGATTCTGTTCATAACTTTTATGGACAGAATTTCTAGGCGCAGCCAAGGTGTTGAGGGGATCCATTTTGGTAGCCTTAGGATCGAGTCTCTGCTTTTTGCAGATGATGGCTTCATCAGATTGTGATCTAGAGCTTTCACTGGAGCGGTTCGCAACTGACTGCGACACAGCCAGGATGAAGATCAGTTCCTCCAAATCCCAGGCCATGGTCTTGAGCCGGAAAAGGGTAGAGTGCCCTCTCCGGGTCAGGGAGGAGTTCCTGCCCAGAGTGGAGGAGTTCAAGTATCTTGGGATCTTATTCATGAATGAGGGAAAAATGGAGCGTGAGATCCATAGGCGGATAGGTGCAGCGTATGCAGTGTAGCGGGCAATGTACAGGTCTGTCGTGGTGAAGAGAGGGCTGAGTCAAAAGGCGAAGCTCTCAATTTACCGATCGATCTATGTTCCTACCCTCATCTATGGTCATGAGCTTTGGATTGTGACCAAAAGAACGGGATCTTGGATACAAGCGGCCAAAATGTGTTTTCTCCTCAGGGTGTCTGGGCTCTCCCTTAGAGATAGGGTGAGAAGCTTGATCATCCGGGAGAGACTCAAAGTAGAGCCGTTGCTTCTCCACGTTGAGAGGAGCCAGTTGAGGTGGCTTGGGCATCCGTTTAGGATGCCTCCAGAACGCCTCCCTGGTGAGGTGTTCCGGACACGTCCCACCCAGAGGAAGACCCAGGACACGCTGGAGGGACTATGTTTCTCAGCTGGCCTGGGAACGCCTTGGGATTCCCCCAGAGGAGCTGGCCCAAGTGGCTGGGGAGAGGGAAGTCTGGGCCTCCCTACTTAAGCTGCTACCCCTGTGACCCGACCCCGGATAAGTGGAAGAAAATGGATGGATGGATGGATGGATGGATCCCCATTAGCTATTACCGTAACAATAGCTATAGTCTTCCTGGTGTCCAAATGTTCATATGTTAGATCTTATTACTATTTTTCTTTACATCCTGATGCATGCTTAATAATCCAGGTAGAAAAATCTAAAAAAGTTAAGTCTGTTCCTCTGGACATTCAAAAAACAAACAAACAAAAAAAAAGTAGAAACGTTTCGTCTTTCATCCGAAAGACTTCCTCAGTCTGAGGTGCTGTATTCAGCTCAGTCTTATAAATAGCACCTTCTCAGAGTGGTTCAACCAGTTTGCTGCTGACAACCAAAACCAGCTGCTCACATGCTCAAGAAGGACCATCAGCCTAACAATGGATCATTAGCACACTGATGGCTGTTTACTATTCACAGGAGGCTGAGTGATACTAGCAATAACAGCATTGTAAGAGGGGGACAGTTGAACGCGGGAGGCCTCCACACCTGTTTAATGATGGACGATTTCTTTGGTTTTTGTACGTTTTATACTTTTGTTGGATGTAACTGGGATCCTGTGTACACAAATTTGTTCCACCGTATATACCACATAAGATATGAATGACAATAAACCTTGATCCTTGATATCGTGGAGTGTTGGCGCAGAGGTCAGAGAAGGCGAGCCTGTGATCGGAAGGTCGCCGGTTCAACTCCTCAAAAATACTTGAAAATATGGGTGAGAAAGGTGAAATGTGGCACGGTGGCGCAGTTGGTAATGCTGCCACCTCTCAGCATAAAGGTTTCAGGTTCAAATCCTGGCTGGGGATCTCTCTGGGTGGAGTTTGCATGTTCTCTCTGTGCATGCGTGGGTTTTCTCCGGGTATTCACGTTTCCTCCCACGGACGAAAAACATGCATGTTAGACTGACTGGTAACTCTAAATTGTTCCTAGGTGTGAGAGAGAATGGTTGTTTGTCTCGTTTGTCTCCATGTGTCCCTGTGATGGACTGGAGACCTGTCCAGGTGTCTGTGATGGTCTGGAGACCTGTCCAGGTGTCCCTATGGTGGACTGGAGACCTGTCCAAGTGTCCCTGTGATGGACTGGAGACCTGTCCAAGTGTCCCTGTGATGGACTGGAGACCCGTCCAGGTGTCTCTGTGATGGACTGGAGACCTGTCCAGGTGTCCCTATGGGTGACTGGAGACTTGTCCCGGTGTCCCTGTGGTGGTCTGGAGAAGTGTCATGGATGTCCGTTTCACACAGTGATAGCTGGATATGGGCACCAGTGACCCCTGTGACCCGAAAAAAAATTAGAGGATAAAAGTTATGGATGGATGGATGGATGGATGGATCTAGTTGTGTCTCTTCTCCGTTTAGCAACAGTTGCAGTCCCTCCCCTCTGGATGTCAGTCATGCTTCTGTCCGTCCTCCATCCTGGATCTGTCGTCTGGAACCCATTAGAGCAGGAATCTCCAGTCGTGCACAGCTTGCACATGCACACACTGCTTCGCCTTGACAGGAAAGAGACACTAGCTTAACACAAAACCGACAGATGCAGTATTTAACCTCGATCACTTTGAACTCTTTGTATGGTAAAAAAAAATTAATAAATGAAGAGCTAATTCTGTACTTTTAGAAAGTTCTTCAGGAGTGTAACATAATGTATGGTTCTTACTATCTGCTGCTAAATCTTGTCTTTTTGTTTTCTCAGAATGGCTGAGGTGTCACAAGAGGAGAGACTCCAGGCTATCGCTGTAAGCTGTTTATACCCTGACACTGTCTGCTTCTTCCTTGAACTGAGTGCACATCAGAGCACACTGTTGGCTGAAGAAGCAACAAATCGTTGCTGCATGCCGAGGTCTTAATGACCCAACCTTTTAGAACCTGTCTCCTCCACCCATTAGTGGGCATCGAAAGCTAATGGAGCTGGAGCGCACTTCTTCCACTCAACAGTGCAGCCTCTGTTTCGTCTCTGTTCTCTGAGAAAGTCCAGGTCTCACTGCAAGAAAACCTTATCTCTTTTGACTTGCTGCCAAACATTTGCAAAATGTAGCAAATAAAGTTGAACTGTATCATGCACGGAATCGCACCCACATATATCCTGTTTAATAGTAATTTCAACTGTTTCTCACTAATGTAGGATTTGTGCTTTTCTCTCAAATTCCCCAAGAGTGCAGAGAACGTACAACACACTTCAATAAACTTGAGTTACACTCAAAAAATTATCTTAAAAAATTTGAAGTGAGCATCTTTTAACTCGTCATATCTCCAACAGAAGCATCAAAATGCTTGTGCATGTCGTTAATGACTCAAGAACTTAGTTTTTACACAGTGGTCAGTTGTTTCAGGTTTATTTTTCAGTCTGCGTTTCTGTCTGCTGCGCATTAACTTGTCCCTCAGGGAGTGAGAAACGTAGGTGTATGGAGACCATGGTGACCATAAAGTCATTTATGAGCAAACTGGTTTGAAACAGTGTTGCCACAAGAATAATATTCATTGTAATAAAAGAAAACGGTTGCTGGTCAGTTGTGTGATCATCTGCAAAGAAATAATTTGTGTGAAAATCTGAGTTCAGCCTGGTCCTCTGGACCGGTTCAAAAAACAAAAATTGTAGAAATGTTTCGTCTTTCATCCAGAACACTTCTTCAGTCTGAGGAGCTGTGTTCAGCTCAGTCTTATAAACATCACCTTCTCGTAGTGCAGTGCTTCTCAATTAGTTTATGTCACCCCCCAACTCTCCGCCGCGACTGTAAATAGTATCATTAGTCTATATTTTGTTATAAGTACACCTCAGTATAACACTGTGTCCTTATTACATTAAAGAAAAAAGAATATATAGATCAACTTACAACAAAGAATAACTTTATTAACATTGTTTTAGTCTGTAACAGAAACTAATTAAACTGCATCAATTTGCCTGAAAAATAATTAAATCTTTATTTAAATGTAAACATTTTTGACCATTTGACACTGAAAAATAAAATCTAATCAATAAATAATAATAAATTCAAATTGATCAGCAACATTTTAACTCTTCTTCTTCTTCTTTCGGCTTTTCCCTCTTCAGAGGTCGCCACAGCGAGTCATCCTCCTCCACCTCACTCTGTCTTCTGTCCTCACTCCAACTACCTCCATGTCCTCTCTAACAGCATCCATATATCTCCTCTTTGTCTTTTTCCTGCAGCTGCATTTCTAACATCCTTCTACCAATATACCCACTGTCCCTCCTCTGGACATGTCCAAACCACTGTCCCTCCTCTGGACATGTCCAAACCACTGTCCCTCCGCTGGACATGTCCAAACCACCGTCCCTCCTCTGGACATGTCCAAATGTACCTCTGATGATCTCATTCCTAATCTTCTCCATTCTTGTCTCTCCTAAGGAGAACCTCAACATCTTCATTTCTGACACTTCCAGTTCTGTCTCCTGTCTTTTTGTCCATGTCTCTGTCTCCAGACCATACAACATAGCTGCTCTCACCACTGTCTTGTAAACTTTTCCTTTGACCTTTGCTGACACCCTTTTATTACAAATCACTCCTGAAACTTTTTTCCATCACTCCATCCTGCCTGGACTCTCTTCTTCACCTCTTTACCACATTCCCCATTTTCCTGGACAGTGGACCTCAAGTACTTGAAGTCCTGCACCTTTGTGACCTCTGCTCCTAGTAGCCTCACTGTTCCACCGGCCTCCCTCCCTGTTCTCACCACAGATCACAATGTCATCTGCAAACATCATCGTCCATGGGGATTCTTACCTGATCTCATCTATTAGTCGGTCCATCACCAGAGCAAACAAGAAGGGGCTCAGAGCTGATCCTTGATGCACTCCCACCTCCACCGTGAAGCCATCTGTCACTCCTACAGCACATCTCACCACTGTCCTGCTGTCCTCATACATGTCCTGCTGTCCTCATACATGTCCTGCTGTCCTCATACATGTCCTGTACCAGTCTAACATACTTTCTGCCACTCCAGATTTCCTCATGCAATACCACACCTCCTCCCTCAGCACCCTTTCAGAAGATTTTTCTAAATCCACAAAGACACAATAGAGTTCTTTCTGACCCTCTCTGTACTTCTCCATCATCATCCTCAAATCAAAGATGGATCTGTGGTGCTCTTTCTCAGCATGAAACCATACTGAAGCTCACAGATAGTCACCTCTCATCCAAGTCTTGCTTCCACAACTCTCTCCCAGATCTTCATCATGTGGCTCATCAACTTAATTCCCCTGTAGTTGCTACAACTCTGTACATCACCCTTGTTCTTAAAAATGGCCACCAGCACACTTCTTCTCCATTCCTCAGGCATTTTCTCACCCTGAAATATGCTATTGAATATTTGAGTCAAAAACCTCACTGCCATCTCTCCAAGACATTTCCAAACCTCCACTGGTATGTCATCAGGTCCTACTGCCTTCCCCATCATCATTCTTTTCAGAGCTTTCTGGACTTCACCCTCACTAATCTTTCCCACTTCCTGGTCCACAGTTTCTATGACCTCTACTCTTCTTTCTCTTTCATTCTCTTCATTCATTAGTTCCTCAAAGTACTTCTTCCATCTTCTCGTCACACTCTCCTCACTTGTTAGAACATTACCATTCCTATCTTTAACAAGCCTACCCTGCTGCATATCCTTTCCAGCCTGATCCCTCTGTCTTGCCAATCGGTACAAGTCCTTCTTGCCCTCGTTAGTGTCCAGTCTCCCATACAACTCATCATACATCTTCTGTTTTGCCTTAGCTACATTCCTCTTTGCTCTACATCCCATCTCCTTATATTCCTGTCTCCTCTCTTCAGTCCTCTCTCTGTCATATTTCTTCTTGGCTAACCTCTTTCTTTGAACATCTTCCTGCACTTCACTATTCCACCACCAGGTCTCCTGATCATCCATTCTCTGTCCAAATGACACACCAAGTACCTTCCTACCTGTCTCTCTAATTACTGTTGCTGTAGTAATCCAGTCATCTGGAAGCTCTTTCTTACCACCCAGAGCCTTTAACAGCTCTTCTCTGAATTTCTCACAACATTCTTCCTTCTTCATCTTCCACCATTTGGTCCTCTTCTCTGATTTTACTCTTTTTCTCTTCTTCACAACAACAGTCATTCTACACACAACCATCCGATGCTGTCTGGCCACGCTCTCCCCTGCCACAACCTTACAGTCTCCAGTCTCCCTCAGGTTTCCTCTTCTACACAGAATGTAGTCGACCTGCGTACTCCTTCCTCCACTCTTATAGGTCACTATGTTCCTCCCTCTTTTGGAAATAGGTGTTGACTACAGCCATTTCCATTCTCTTGGTAAAATCCACCACCATCTGTCCTTCCTGGTTTCTTTCCTTGACACCAAACCTACCCATCACTTCCTCATCCCCTCTGTTTCCTTCACCAACATGTACATTCAGGTCTGCTCCCATCACCACTCTCTCCTCCCTGGGAATACTCTCTATAACTTCATCCAGATCTTTCTCCTCCACATCACATCCAACCTGTGGAGCATAACCACTGACAACATTTAGCATCAGACCTTGTATCCAAAAAAAGTTCAATCTGGTCCTCTGGACATTCAAAAAACAAGAAAACAACAACAACAAAAAAAAGCAACAAAAAAATGTGGAAACTTTCGTCTCTCATCCGAGAGACCTCCTCAGTCTGAGGTGCTGTTTTCAGCTCAATCTCTTAAATAGCACCTTCTCAGAGTGGCTCACCAGTTTGCTGCTGACAACCAAAACCAGCTGATCACATGCTCAAGAAGGACCATCAGCCTAACAATGGATCATTAGCACCTGATGGCTGTTTACTGTTCACAGAGGGCTGAGTGATACTAGCAATCACAGCATTGTAAGAGGGGGACAGTTGAACCTGGAGGCTCCACCCCTGTTTAATGATGGACGGTTTCTTTTCACAAAGATGGCCTCCTTTACTCCTCTCTCAAACCATCGTTCCTCTCTGTCCAGGATGTGAACATCTTCATCCCTGAAAGAGTGACCTCTGACCTGGAGATGAGTGTAGACCGCAGAGTCCTGGCCTGATGATGTTGATCTTCTGTGCTGGTCCATCCTTTTGGCCAGTGGCTGTGTAGTTTCCCCGATGTAAGACTGATCACAGCCCTCCTGACACTGAACAGCATACACAACATTACTCTGTTTGTGCCGGGGGACTGGATCTTTGGGATGAACCAGTCTTTAATGTATTTTGGGAGTTAAAAGCCACTGGGACGTTGTGTTTAGAAAATAAACGTCTCAGTTTCTCTGAAACTTGTCCTCCAGCTCTTATGTTAAAAATCTTGGTGTTATTTTTGATCAGGACATGTCTTTTTTCCCCCACATTAAAAACGTTACTAGAACCACCTTCTTCCACCTGCGTAATATCACTAACATTAGAAACATCTGATCTAAAGATGATGCAGAAAAACTGGTCCATGCATTTGTCACGTCTAGACTGGACTATTGCAATGGTTTATTATCTGGGTGTCCAAATACTTCTTTAAAACGTCTTCAGTTGATCCAAAATGCTGCTGCCAGAGTCTTAACTGGAGTTACTGGGAGAGATTATATCTCTCCAGTTTTAGCTTCTCTCCATTGGCTCCCTGTCAAATCCAGAATAGAATTCAAAATCTTACTTCTAACCTACAAAGCTCTCAACAACCTAGCTCCATCTTATATTACAGATCTTATTGTTCCATATTTTCCTAACAGAGCACTTCACTGTCAGACTGCAGGTTTACTTGTGGTTCCTAGAGTTTCCAGTAGCAGAATGGGAGGAAGATCTTCCAGTTCTCAGGCTCCTCTCTTGAGGAACCAACTTCCAGTTTCTGTCCATGAGGCTGACACATTGTCCAGTTTGAAGACTGGGATTAAGACTTTCCTTTTTGATAAATCCTATAGTTAGGGTCGGCTTGTCATGCTGCTATAGACTTAGACTACTAGAGGACAAATTGACCTCATGTCCTTAAATTAATTGTTAAAATTGAATAGTTTTCATTTGATACTATTTCTATCTTAACATGTGATTCTTGACCTGCCATTGTGTATCTATTCCTACAAAACCCAGACGGTCAAAGCAGATGGTCCTCTTGTCCTGATCTTGGTTCTGCTAAAGGTTTCTTCCTCATGAGGGAGTTTTTCTTTCCACTGTCGCCTTCATGCTTGTTCAAGATGAGAGTTCTGTTATGGAGTTAGGGTGCATTCACACCAGCCCTGTTTAGTCGCTTTAATCGAACTCTAGCTCGTTTTCCTAGAAAGTCCGGTTCGTTTAGGTAGGTGTTAACGTGCCATCAGACTCTGTCACGGAACAAAAAGGTGAACTCTGGCCCGGGCTAAAACCTAGGTCTCGGTCCGGTAGAAGAGAACTCCAGCGCGGGTCCAGTACAGTGTGAATGTAAACAGACCGAGCCCCGCTCCACAAGCAGGAAGTGGAGTACAGCGCAGGACAAACACACATTTCTCTTATATGGAGCCGTCAGCTGACTTGTGTGAAAAACAATATTCTCCATGGTCTTCTGTCTCATCTTCTGCTCATGCTGAGTCCATTGTTGAAAAATGACAAAATATAACTCCTAAAACTGATAAAACTTGATGCCACTCCGTTTTTGTTTTTATTTCCAGAAGAATAAGAAGACGTGTCTTCAGAGGTTTTTGTGTCGTTTCTTTCAGTAGTTCTTGGTGCAGCGCCCCCACAGGCGAGCGGGGGAACAGGTTGCTTCAACAGGTTG